CCTAAGGCTCATTATTAATTACACACTATAGAATAGCATCTCTCATAGGGCTCCAGTCACAGCAATATTAGTTTTAATCCTGGAAATTACAAGAGTTATAGACAAATTCACAACTGTACTAATAGCAAACAACCTCATAAACTCTGTGTGAGGTACAGTGCCAAGTATTTCATAAGTGTCATTTCCCTGAATCTCCACAACCCTGTGAAGAAATTACCATTAGTATTATCACTTTATGCATTAGAGAATAAAGGTTTAAAGCATCTTAATACTTACCTAAGTCACCTCAGAATAACAGGATGGGCAAATCCATACCCTTAACCACTATTCTTTTTGTTTTTGTTTTTAAGATGGAATTTTGCTCTTGTTACCCAGACTGGAGTGCAATGGTGCAATCTCAGCTTACTACAGTCTCCTCCCCCCAGGTTCAAGTGAATCTACTGCCTCAGCCTCCAGAGTAGCTGGGACTACAGGTGCCCACCACCATGACTAATTTTTTTATGTTTAGTAGAGATGGGATTTTGCCAGGTTGGCCAGGTTGATCTCAAATGCCTGGCCTCAAGTGATCTGCCTGCCTCAGCCTCCCTGAGTGTTGGGATTACAGATGTGAGCCACTGTACCTGGTCCCACCCTTAACCACTATTTTAAACTGTCTTTTTATAATCAATAGCTCTGCTTTAACTAATAAAATACTGCTTAGTTGTTTTTTTTAATATTTGTACTAAAATGAGTAAATTTCTGAATAAACCTAATAGTGATTATGCCTATTATACTCCAGTAGTAAACCTCTGTTACTAAACATAATTGGGTAAAAAGACCTTAGAGCAGGAGGGCTAGCTTCATGAAATGGTGGGGTTAGTTTTCCAACGCTCATAAAGACACAGTAGCAGAGATTGGTCTTTTAAAGTTTCCTGCTGATTGATTGCCTTTGGAGATAAGCTCTTTATTCCAAAGTATCTGTGTTTGGGGCCCTCTCTTAGTAGTTATCCATAGATAACTAAGATGGAGAAATCATCAAATTCGCAGAGGCTAAGTGAATAGAAGCCAACACTTGCAGGAATACACCTTGCCAAGTTTATTATCTGTTATGCATTGCTTTATTACATATGACAGGAACTTAAACCAGATGTATTTTAATGTAGGGGGCCATCCCATGACGAGAGCACAGGATTGTGGCCACAACTTGAAAGTAGAGAATCAAGACTTTTAGGTAGTTCAGAAGTTTCCTTTTATGCTAGTTGTATAATAGAATAAAAGTTTTCCAATCATCTTTTCAAATTAAGTGGGACTCCACTTCTTAATCTGGAAGTTGTTAAAACTTCTGGCTTTTGAAATTCAATTATTTTCATTTTAAGAAAGATCCAAGATTTTCTGAGTAGTTTTGACTTAATCTAAAGCAAAACATTCTTGGAGAGTACAGCTTTGATATGTAAATATTCACATATACACATCCCCATTTGCTCCATTCTCATCTGGAATTTAGACCGCATTTTCATAGCTGGTATTCAATAACGCATCTTTGCCATCTGCTTTTTTTTTTTAAATTAAACCAATGTCTTTAAAAACGCTATTATTTGAAGTAACATTTAAGTATTTAAAAAAAATTCATTTTGATGATGTACATTTAAGGGAAAAAAAAATTTTTCCACGTTAGCCCAAAATGAATTTTGGATACACAGTTATAAAACCTTTTCATTTTTCAAACAGGTAAAAAGTATTAGTGGAGAAAAAAATATGATAAATGTTTTAGTTTAGGAAATAGTCTTGGAAATAAAACATATACAATATGGGTCGGGCCAGTGGCTCACACTTGTAATCCTAGAACTTTGGTAGGCTAAGGCAGGATGACCGCTTGAACCCAGGAGTTAGAGACCAGCCTTGGCAACACAGCAAGACGTCCTCTCTACAAAAATAAGATAATAATAATAATATGCAACAGAGAATAAGTGTGCAGTCCTTTCTAAGAAAAAATTATATTGAAAATCATTAACTGAGCAATGATATTAGAAGTACTTATGATTTAGTTTTCTGTACGGTTTCAAGATACATTTACATGGTAAGATATATTTTTAAAAATAATTAGGCAGAGTGCAGGTGGCTCATGCATTTAGTGCTTGCATTTTGGGAGGCTGAGGCTGGCGGATTCCTTGAGTCTAGGAGTTTGAGACTAGTCTGGGCAACATCACGAAACTTCATCTCTGTAAAAATTACAAAATAGTCAGACATGGTAACATGTACCTGGAGTCCCAGCTACTCAGGAGGCTGAGGCAGAAGGATGGCTTGAGCCTGGAATGCAGAGGTTGCAGTGAGCTGAGATCATGTCACTGCATTCCAGCCTGGGTTAGGGAGGCCAGACTCTGTCTAGAAAAAAAAAAGAAGAAGAATTTTTTAAAAGTCAGTTCAGACCGTTTCTGCTACAGGAGAACAACCAAAGACAATCAGTCATACTTCAGATATGTACACGTGCACACATACATGTGGTTGATTGCCAAAGAAAGTTAATTTACTCAAAACCAGAAAAAAAATCTCACTCTATAAGGAGTTATCTGTAAAAAATTAAACACACACCTAATAGAAGCTATCTGAATCATTGCATTGTCTATAAACTGTCAAAACAATTGGTTTCTTTTTATAACATTCCTTCATTGTGTGTTGAGCATTCATTGTATCCTGGACACTCTTGTAGGCATGAAGGTGGGGGTTGGGGCACCAAAAAAGATGCATAAGTGGTGTATCTTGTTTGGCCAGTTTAGAATAACTGTAAGGTTATATTTCTTTCTTATGAAGATAAAATTTACATATAGTAAAAAGTACATCTATTAAGCATACAAATGAATGAATTTTAACAAATGTATATATCCATGTAAGCAATACCCCAACCAAGACATAGCGCATTTCCATCACCCCTAGAAAGTTCTTTCATGCCCTCCTTCAGTCTGTCTTCCTTTCCCCATACACAATCTTGTTCTAATTTCTTTTTATCACCGTGGGTTGGTTTATCTGCTCTTGAAAGTTACATGAATGGAATTATACATATATATAGTTTTTAATCTGTTTTTAACTTCACTTAATGTTTTAGAGATTCACTGTGTTGTATTAGTAGTTCATTCCATTTAATTACTGTGTAGTATTCCATTATACAAACATAACATAATTACTTTTCATTCATAATCCTTTTGAGAGTTATTTGAGTTTGTTTCTAGTTTTTTACTATTAGGAAAAAGCTGCTATTAACACCATTGGTCAAGTCTTTTTGTGTGTGTGTCAGGGTCTTGTGTTGTCCAGGCTGAAGTGGTGCAGTGCTGTGATCACTGCTCAACACAGCTTCAATCTCCTGGGTTCGATCATCCCCTCAGTTCTCCCACTTTGGCCTCCTAGGTAGCTGGGACTACAGGCATACACCATCATGCCCAGATAATGTTTTTTTTAAGAGATAGGGGTCTCACTATGTTGCTCGGGCTGGTCTCAAACTCCTGGACTCAAGCAATCCTCCTGTCTCAACTTTCCAGGGTACTGGGATTATAGGAATGACCCCCCCCCGCCCATGCCTGGCAAGTCTTTTTGTAAACACATATTTCCACTATTGTTGAACTGCTGGGTCATTAGGTAGGTGTATAATTTTATAAGAAGCGCTTAGTTTTCCAAAGTGGCTATATTATTTCATACTCCAACGAGCAGTGTATGGAGTTTCATTTGTACCACACCCTTGTCGACCTTTGATAATTGTCCGTCTGTTTAGTTTTCACCATCTCTGTTGATGTAAGTTGGAAGTTTAGTGGGGTTTTAACATTTCCTTGATGACTCATGGTATTGAACACCTTTTCATGTGTGTATTGACCATTTGTATGTCTTCTTTTGTGAAATGTCTTTTTAAATCTTTTGCCTATTTTTTATTTGCATTGTCTTTTTTTGATTCGTCTTTTATATGATACAAGTTTCTTATCAGATATATGCATTAAGAATATTTTCTTGCAGTTTCTCACTTGCATTTTTTAAGACTTTATTTTTTAGAGCAGTTTTAGGTTCACAGCAAAAAATGCAAAGATTTTCCATATACTCTCTGCCTATCTCTCACTTTCAACATCCTGCACCAGAGTTTTACATTTGTCACAACTGAATACTTCTACAGTGACACATCACCAAAGCCCATACGTCACAAGGCTTCACTCTTGGTGTTGTACATTCTATGGATTTTGACAAATATGTAATGGCATATACATATATCATTACAGTATCATACAAAATAGTTTCCCTGGCCTAAAAATCCCCAGTTGTCTGACTATTCATCCTTTCCACCCCACAATTCCTATAAACCACTGATACTTTTACTGTCTCCATAGTTTTACACTTTCCAGATGGTCATATACTTGGCATCATAAAATATGTGGCCATTTCAGATAATTTTTTCTCACTGTGTACTATACATTTAAGGTTCATCCATGCCCTATCTTTTAATAGCTTGAGAGCTCATTTCTTTTTAGTGCTGAATAATATTTCACTGGTTATACCCCAGTTTATTCATACATTTACCTACTGAAAAACATCTTGGTTGCTTCCAAGTTTTGGTTTCTTTTAATAACTCTGCCATAAACATTTGTGTGCAGGTTTTTGTGTGGACATAAGTTTTCAACTCACTTGTGTAGATACCAAGGAGAGCAATTGCTGGATCATGTGGTAAGAATATGTTTAGTTTTATAAGAAATTGCCCTACTGTCTTCTGAAGTGGCTATACCATTTTACATGAATGAGAATTTCTTTTGCTCCATATGCTCACCACAGCATTTTATGGTATTAGTGTTTGGATTTTGGCTATTTTTGTTTGTTTGTTTGTTTTTGAGATGGTCTTGCTCTGTTGCCCAGGCTGGAGTGCAGTGGTGTGATCTCAGCTCACTGCAACCTCGGCCTCCCAGGTTCAAGCAATTCTCCTGCCTTAGCCTCCTGAGCAGCTAGAATTACAGGCTTGTGCCACGATGCTCAGCTAATTTTTGTATTTTTAATAGAGATGGGGTTTCACCATATTTGCCAGACTGGTCTCCAACTCCCGACCTCAAGTGATCTGCCTGCCTCGGCCTCCCAAAGTGCTAGGATTATAGGCGTGAGCCACCATGCCTGGCCTGAATTTTAGCTATTCTAAAAGGTACGTAATGATATTTCATTGTTGTTTTAATTTGCAATGCCGGTGTAAGATCTGTGTTTAGATTTCTTTTCTTCATGTGGATGGCCAGTTGTTCCAGCAGCATTTGTTAAAAACACTGTCTTTGCTCTGTTGTATTGCTTTTGCTCCTTTGTCAAAGATCAGTTCCCTCTACTTATGTGGGTGAATTTCTGGGATCTCTATTCTGTTCCATTGACTGTCCATGGGATTTGTAGTGATGTCCCTCTTTCATTTCTGATATTAGTAATTTGTTACCCCAGCTAGAGGATTATTAATTAATTAATTTTTTTTTTGAGTTGGAGTCTCACTCTGTCACTCAGATTGGAGTGCAATCTCAGTTCATTGCAACCTCCACCTCCCCGGTTCAAGTGATTCTTCTGCCCTGGCCTCCTGAGTAGCTGGGATTACAGTTGCCACCACACCCAGCTAATTTTTTTGTATTTTTTTAGAGATGGGGTTTCACCATGTTGGTCAGGCTGCTCTTGAACTCCTGACCTCATGATCTGCCTGCCTTGGCCTCCCAAAGTGCTGGGATTACAGGTGTGAGCCACCATGCCTGGCTGAGAATTATTAATTTTGTTGACTTTTCAAAGAACCAGCTTTTAGTTTTGCTAATTTTCTGTTTTCAATTTTATTGATTTCTGTTTAATTTTTATTATTTATTTTCTTCTTCTTACTTTCCTAAAGATATTAGAGAAAGAAGAACATATTAAATCAAAAGTAAGAAGATTTTCTTGTTTTCTCTCTTTCTTTTTCTACACGTATTTTCTTGTTTTCTCTCTTTCTTTTTCTAAATATATTTTCTTGATTTCTCTCTTTCTTTTTCTAAACATATTTTCTTTTTAAATTTTTATTTATAGTAGAGATCGAGTTTCATTAATAATATGGTTTGGCTCTGTATCCCCACTCAAATTTCATGTTAAATTGTAATCCTCACTGTTGGAGGTGGGGTCTAGTGAGAAGTAATTGGATCATGGGGGCAGATTTCCCCCTTGCTATTTTCGTGATAATGAGTGAATTTTCCCCCTTGCTGTTTTCATGATAATGAGTGAGTTCTCATGAGATCTGGTTGTTTAAAAGTGTCTAGCACCTTCCCACTGTTCACTCTTCCTTCTGCTCCAGACATGTAAGATATGCCTGCTTCCCCTTTGCCTTCTGCCATGATTGTAAGTTTTCCAAGGCCTCCCCAGCCATGCTTTCTGTACAGCCTGTGGAATCATGAGCCAATTAAGCCTGTTTTCTTTACAAATTACCCAGTCTCATGTGGTTCTTTATAGCAGTGTGAAACAGACTAATACAGAAAATTGGTACCAGGAGTGGAGCATTGCCACAAAGATACTTGAAAATAAAGAAGTAGCTTTGGAACTGGGTAACAGGTACAAGCTGGAACAGTTTGAAGGGATCAGAATAAGCCTGGAAGATGTGGGAAGGTTTGGAATTTCCTAGATATGTGTTAAATTGTGACTAAAATGTTTATAGTGATGTGGGCAATGAAGTTCAGGCTGAGGTGGTCTCCGATAGAGATAAGGAGATTGTTAAAAACTGGAGTAAAATTCATTCTTGCTATACTTTAGACAAGAGACTAGTGGCATGTGCCCCTGCCCTAGAGATCTGTGGAACTTTGAACTTGAGAGAGATGATTTGGGGTATCTGGCAGAATAAATCTCTAAGAAGCAAAGCATTCAAGATGTGACCTGGCTGCTTCTAACAGCATAGGCTTATATTCATGAGCAAAGAGATTATCTGAAACTAGAACTTATATTTAAAAGAGAAGCAGAGCATTAAAGTTTGGAAAATTTGGCCTGGTCATGTGGTAGAAAGAAAAAAAACAAACAAACAATGTTTAGGGGAGGAATTCAAGCTGGCTACAGAAATTCATAAAAGTAAAGAGGAGCCAAATGTTAATAGCCAAGACAATGGGGAAAAATGCATATAAGGCATTTCAGAGACCTTCACAGCAGACCCTCCCATCACAGGCCCAGTGGCCTAGGAGGGAAGAATGGTTTTGGGAACTTAGCCCAGGGACCCACTACCCTGTACAACCTTAGAACACTGTTCCCTTCATCCCAGCTACTCTGGCTCCAGCTGTGGATAAAAGAGCCCCAGAAACATCTCAGGCCACTGCTCCAGAGGGCGCAGGCCCCAAGCCTTGGTGGCTTTCATGTGGTGTTGGGTCTGTAGGTGGGCAGAAGGCAAGAGTTGAGGTTAGGGACTCTCCAACTAAATTTCAGAAGATAATATGAAAATGCTTGAATGTCCAGGCAGAAGTCTGCTACGGGGTGGAGCTCTCAAGGAGACCCTGTACTAGGGAAGTGCAAAGGGGAAATGTGGAGTTGGAGCTTCCACACAGAATCCCACTGAAGCACTGCCTAGAGGAGCTGTGAGAAGGCCACCATTCTATAGCCCCCAGAATGATAAATCCATGGACAGCTTGCATCATGCACCTAGAAAAAGCTGCAGGCACTCAAAGGCAGCCCATGAAAGCAGTGAAGGGGGTTGTACTCTGCAGAGCCACAGTGGTGGAGATGCCCAGGCCTTGGGAGCCCATCCTTTGCATCAGTGTTGCCTGAATGCTGGGCATTGTGGCTCATGCCTGTAATTCCAGCATTTTGGGAGGCTGAGGCAGGTGAATCACTTGAGGTCAGGAGTTTGAGACCAGCCTGGCCAATATGGCAGAACCCTGTCTCTACTAAAAAATACAAAAATTAACCAGACGTGGTGGCACATGCCTGTAATCCCAGCCACTTGGGATGCTGAAACAGCAGAACCACTCAAACCCAGTAGGGGGAGGTTGCAGTGAGCCAAGATCATGCCACTACACTCCAGCTTGGGCAATAGAATGAGACTCTGTCTCAAAAAAAAAAAACAAAGAAAATTCAATGACTGCCCTGTTGGGTTTTGCACTTGCATGGGGCCTGTAGCCCCTTTGCTTTGGCTAGTTTTTCCCTTTTGGAGAAGGAGCATTTTCTCAATTCCTCTATCTCCACTGTGTCTCTGAAGTGGCTTTTTAATTTTGAATGCTCATAGGCAGAAGGGACTTGCCTTGTCTAACATGGGCCTTTGGATTGGACTTTTGAGTTAATTCTGAAATAAGTTAAGACCCTGGGGGACTGTTAGGAAGGCATGATTGTGTTTTAAACTGTGAGAAAGACATGAGATTTGGGAGTGGCTGGGGCAGAATGATATGATTTGGCTCTGTGTCCCCACCCAAATCTCATGTTGAATTGTAATCCAGTGTTGGAGGTGAGCGCAGTTTCTAATGGTTTAGCACCATCCTCCAAGTGCTGTCTTGTGAGAGAGCTCTTGGTTGTTTATGGTTGTTTATGTATTGGGTAAAAGGAACTGAGGTAAACAGGCCTTTAGGAATGTATTGGTAAGTTGTGGGGGGAGGGGAAGCATTCAGTAGTCCTATGATTAGGTCTCAATCTTTTAATAAGCCTGTGCCTTGGACTGTGAATTACACAATAATAATTATTCTCTCTCTTTAGTGGGACAGAATTGTTAGAGTGGGCTGGAGTTGAGTATTTTCTTTTCCCCGGTTTGTTTGCCTCTGAAAAAAGCCCTAATCGTTTAGGCTCTTTAAAATAGTTTCTCTTGAAACTAGATAAGCATTGGTTTGACATGAATTATAGATGAAATATAAAATGTAGAACTACAAAGATCCTAGAAGAAAACACAGGAGAATATCTTTGCAAATTTGTGATAGGCAAAGACTTCTTAGAACACAAAAAGAACTAATCATAAAAGAATAAAAAGGATAAATTCAACTTTATCATAATTTAAAACTTCTGATCATCAGAAGATGCTGTTAAGATAATTTAAAAGGCAAATTATGTTTTCAGTCTCTAGATAAGCACCTTTGAAGTCATTGCTCCATCCTAACAAGTAAAGAGCTGAACAAATTGAAAACTTAATAACTCTTCTTAAACCCATCAGAAAAGTGAGATCACAGGGCAAACTGCTCTCCCAAACTTGGAGAAATGGACAGATGAATACAGGAAATTACAAGTTCCTGGGACAGAAACCCACCAGAAGAAACTGCCCAAGAAAGCAGTCTGGGATAGGAAAACCTGAACTGTAATTGACAAATCACTGGAGGCCCAGTGTGGACAATTCTGAGAGTTAAAAACTCAAGGGGGACTCATTCATGGAGGGGTCCCCACACTTTTGTGAGTTTTACCTCCAGGAGCTCTACCAAATCTTCACAATACATATTGGAGAAAAATCCCCGTCTGCTTCTAGAAGGGAAATGAGGAAATTATAATTGAAATATACCAGAGCATTCTGTTCTTAACAAGGCCTGACCTCAAGAGAAACTATTTTAAAGAGCCTAAACGATTAGGGCTTTTTTTCAGAGGCTAACAAACCAGGGAAAGGAAAATACTCAACTCCAACAGCAGATAGGGTCAAGCTTTATTTTCTCCCATACCTTTTGATAGCTGTTTCAACACCAACTGTTTAGAAGAGTTTTTTCCCCATTGAATTGACTTGGTGTTTTTGTAAACATTCAATTGACTGTATATGTTTGGGTCTATTTTTGGGATCGCTAGTCTGCTCCATTAATCTATTTGCCTATTCCTATGCCATAATCATATTTCTCTTTAATATATAAATTAAATGATTTATTTAATTTCAGTTTCATCTTTTTACAGATTACCCTTTGGAGTTTACCCTACCCACTGTCTCAAAACTCAGAATACACATTCATTCTTGAGGCCAGTCTTGTTTTCATGTAACTAGTTCAGAGGGAGGCAGAGACTGTAATCAGCCCACCTAGTAATGACTTTTGTTGCTGCCCTGGCTGTAGTCTGCTGTTGGAAACACAAATCTCACACCTCCGGAGATCATCACTGCCCATCGCTGGAATGACCAAGGCCCCTGACCACTGCTGGTTGGAGCTGCAGTTTTTCAGAGTATAAGGAGGAAAAAGGAGATATCACCTTTACTATTGTGATCACCATGCCACTGACATGTGCTCCTCTTTAATATACACACTTCTCCACAACTATTTTGACCAAGCATGCCCCCAGTGCTAAGGTGACAGAATTAAGAGAGTCTCTGGCCTCAGATTACTTCTCTGGAGTCATATAATATGCCCAGCTCCTCCAACTTCTTGGGGTTCTGGGTCTCCTTTCCTTCTAGGTGGATTCAAGTGAGACCATCTATCTATATCTCTCTAATTTGTTCTAATAACCTAGAGTCTCAAAAGAAAAGAGGTTGATTATCTGTACCCATTTTTCTCTCAGGAGACTTCTAAGGTCTACATTGGAAAAATTTAATCTTTTTCCCAGAACACAAAATAAGCTCCCAAAATTATCATACTACAGGTAGTAAACTGATGGTCACAGGCCACATCTAAACTGCAGGGTCAGGCCTGGTTAGTACTGGATGGGAGACCACCTAGGATTATCTGGCTGTAGGTCTCTTTTTTTTAAATTAATTTTTAAAATGTAGGGCTGGGCACGGTGGCTCAAGCCTGTAATCCCAGCACTTTGGGAGGCCGAGGCGGGTGGATCACGAGGTCAACAGATTGAGACCATTGTGGTCAACATGGTGAAACCCCGTCTCTACTAAAAATACAAAAAATTAGCTAGGCATGGTGGCGCGTGCCTGTAACCTCAGCTACTCAGGAGGCTGAGGCAGGAGGATTGCCTGAACCCAGGGGGCGGAGGTTGTGGTGAGCCAAGATCGCGCCATTGCACTCCAACCTGGGTAACAAGAGCAAAACTCTGTCTCAAAAAAAAAAAAATTTTTTTTAATTTAAAATGGAAAGGACAGTTAATAATAGTCAAAGCTGTCTTAAATGGAAGGAATTTGTTAATTTTAAAAAAAGTCAGCACTTTGGGAGGCCAAGGCAGGTAGATCACCTGAGGTCAGGAGTTCAAGACCAGTCTGACCAACACGGCAAAACCCCCTCTCTACTAAAAATAGAAAAATTAGCAGAGTATGGTGGTAGATGCCTGTAATCCCAGTTACTCAGGAGGGTGAGGCAGGAGAATGACCCAGGAGGCAATGAAAGGGTAAAAGCAAAATTTATCGGGGTCCTCTCTCAGACCCTGCTCTAGAGCCGTATCAATTTAAGATTGATGCCTCTGTCATCTTAGTTATTTAAAATTTGGAATATTATCCCTGACACAGATTATTTTATGGAATCAGTAAAAAATAACCTAATTACTAGACATCTTTGGGCACACTACTGGGCAGCAGTATGGGCCCCGTTGAAGTGAAAAGTGTGAGTTTACAGAAAACCATGTCAACAAAGTTCCCTGACTTCCTCCATCAAGTCATCAGCACTCAGAAAGTAACAATAAAGATGATTGAGACACAGCAGATATGGACATGAGAGTGGGGGTGGGAGGTGCGCTAGAGATTTTAGGTGATTTTAGGTGCTTCTTTGAGATGGCTGATAATGGGATCAGGCTGAGGGTTCAATGTCATTTTCCTAATGACATGTAACCAGATGAATGAGTTAGATGACTTGGGAGGGCTCCAGTGATGACAGAATCCAGAGTGGTGATCCCTTTACAACTGCCAGGAAGGACAAATTTACCCTCTTAGATTCAATTTTTGGAGGCTTTCGAGTGAAAATGACAAAGGACAGATTAGCAAGAAAATAGATTTAATTATCTATGTGCAGGACTTCACAGAAATTGGGGCCTATATACCATTTCAACAGGGAAGGGTAGGAAATCAGTGTTTATGGGAAAACAAATGACTTTCTGGAAAGACTTATGGACTTCTAGGAGAATAAACAGGACATATAATAGTTTTGTGACAATGCCCGTTTAAGAGTGATATGGAGACTTGTAGCTCACACCTGTAATACTAGCACTGTGGGAGGCAGAAGTAAGTATTGCTTGTGTTCAGGAGTTCGAGACCAGCCTAGGCAACATGGTGAAACTCTGTCTCTACAAAAAAATGAAAACAATTAGTCAGGTGTGGTGGCACATGGCTGTAGTCATATCCTAGCTACTGGGGAGGCTGAAGTGGGAGGATCACTTGAGCCTGGAGAGGTCAGGCTGCACTGAGCTGTGATTGTGCCACTACACTCCAGCCCAGGAAAGAGTGAGACCCTGTCTCACACATACATACACAATTCTAGAGTAGTGAATTTTGGAGCCCTTCACTACACAACTCATTTGAGCCTTGCAGCAAAAAAACAAAGAGTCAGCTTCAATTATTTTTGTTCCTGTTGTCATATGTCTGAGGACCTTGTCATTTCAATATTAAATTGGGACAATAGCTCTTTATCATAGATTGTACTGTTAAAGAAAATAGTGTAATGATACAAGACATACTGCCTGTCCTCAAGATGTTTATCATCTAGTGGGAGAGGCAAGATTGATATTCTTCAATCCTGTCACTTGTAAGGTTGTGTATGATAGATTATAAACATGATTTGATTTTAAATTCTACAAAACCAGTGTAAAATAGTGGGTCATTGGCAGAATCTGATAGACATCTACTGCTCTCTTGGATTTGATCACCAGTGTAATACTGAGGTTTCAGCCATCCTAGAGAATTCTGCTTGCCATTGAAAGTGCTCTTTTGAGATTGTGTTGTAAAATGTTCAAGCCCATTTCAAATTTAATGTATCTTACCATTGTTATGATTAGTCAAATGATGCCAGCTCTTGACCACACCATTCTAAGTTTTCTCTTTGGAAAGAGAAGCTCTGGTAATACTTACCTTTTAGCCAAGTGGCAATTTTTATACTCTTCCTTTTACTTTTAAAGAGGTTTTTTTTGAATGTTATTAGCAGTCTACACAGGATCTGTGTAACACAAAGGGTAATATATATTGAATCTGTGTATCACACATATCCTGCTTTGTTTTCTGCTCTAAATTGTTTAGTATGTCTGTGTGATTTTTTCAATTCAACCAGTGCCTGCTTTTCAGTCTAGACACATGCAGTAACAGGTGATATTATCTCTATATGGGAATAGGCGCTTATTAAACACATTTGTGGTTGAAACCACCATTTTTTAATGTGAGAAACCATGTAGAGAGAGCTCTGCTTGTATTATAGGGGGTTGGGGAGGGAATGATATATTTCTTCCTTAGCTTATTATAATTAGAGATATTTGTGTGAAAATAGAATCTCTGTTGCTTAAGTGTTGCTCAGCTCCTGCTGATCTGTTCTCACTCACAGGCACAGTCCTTTGTGATATAATAGTTAGTTGCTGTGGAGATGATTATCCTGTCATGGAGAAAGAGACTTATGAATTTAAATGAAGAATGAACAGCAGGAGCAAAAGAACTAAGCCAAAAGCCAAGCACTTCATCCAATTTAATTTTCTCTTGCCTTTTTAATATATGTTATGTCATAAAGTTGGATGTATCCACTTCAATAATACAGTTTCAGGGTTAATGACGAATAATGACAAAAGGCAAATTTGAAAGGAAAAGCAAAGTATAATACTGACATTCTATACAGAGGCAAGAATGAGTTAAAGTTATAGAAAATTCAACAATAATAAACATATACTATTGGGCCATGCCTTATGCTTTAAATAAACAATTAAGCATTTTGACACTTCTACTGCAGTCTTGAGGAATTGTTCAGGTAATTTAGGCATCATTCAACAAGTAGAAAGCAGAGTGTTGAGATAGAAAGAGAATATATTATGTATCAAACAGTTGATTTGAATTCCTACTTGGCCATTTACAAGTCATTGTCTTAGGCAAGCTCTCAGTGCTTCTGTTTCACCAATTATAAAACTGGGATTAATTTGTAGAGTTGTTTTCATGGCTGTTCAACTGGTATGGACTCATACGGCCACGTCAGTCATTTACAGCCAATGACATTCATTCATTGGTCATTGCATTCATTCTAATAGGTTAGTGCATATTCTGTACTAGTTATTACATATTTAAAATATCGTCTATGTGTGTCAGACAGGATAGACTCTGCTGCTTAACAGACAAATTCTGAAACTTTGGTGGTTTAGCACAATGAAATTATATTCTTCGCTCTCGTAGATTCTAGTGTGGATCTGTCAGCTCACCTCTCACCTTCCTCTTGTGGCTGGTGGCTTCTAAATCAAGATCATTATTGCAAGAGAAAAGAAGGATGGAGGAGGTAAGCCAACTTTTAACTTCTTTGGACCCAGACATGCTATTTCTACTCATAGTTCTTTGGTAGGAACTAATCCCATGGTCCCAATCTATCTGCAAGGGAGGCTGGGAGATGTGGACATTTTGCAGTCATTGGTGAGCACTGTAACTGTCTCTGCCATATCACCCTTTGCTTCTGTGAGTATTAGATAAAATAATGTAGTTGAAGGATTTACAATTGTGTCTGATGAGCGACATTAGATGGCAAAGGTTGATCCAGGCTTAAGGCTTGCCATGAATAATGGCGTGGTTGAGATTTTCACCTGAAGCTAGCAAATAAGCAGAAGAAAGGATATTTATGAATTGATTAAAAATACAGGGTAATATATGTTGAAGCAGTGCCCCAGTGCCTCTAACTGCCTTGTTCTTTATGGAAACACATCTCAGCAAAGCAGCCACAGCAGCCTATGGAGGGGAGGAATATATCAGGTCCAAGGATGAGAGGCTTGCTGCCTTTCAACTATTTTAGGGCTAGGTGGTGGTAGTACAGTGAGTGAAAGGGATATGTTGACATGCAGGAGTCTGCCCTATTCCCATAAAGAAATTTCTTTGCCTTGGTATCTCAGGAAAAAAAGAAAGACATTTCTTGCTGAGTTATAGTTATCTATTACAGAATTTATTCCTCACTAATCTTTGAGACTACATGAATAAGAATGTCCTGAGTTTATACCTTGTGTCTGTGGTAAACTTATGCTGGATATTGTAGGGTATGCTAAAGAAAAACAGCACCTAATCTCTCCTAAAGAGTTTATAATCTAACTAAGGAGATACAAGTCTGTAATATTAAACAGTAGCAGAATCAGTTGATTAGTTGGTGGCACCTACTAATCATTATGATATACATTATGTCAAGGTGCCACCAACTAATCAACTGATTCCGCTGCTGTTTAATATTTAAGTTGTTTTAAAGTTTTTTTTAAGTTATGAATGGTCTATGAACACTTAAGTAGATCACTTGAGCACATTTAAGTAGATCTTAAGTATTTTCACCTTTTACACACACAAAAATGGTAACTGTGTGAGACGATGGATGCTTTCATTCACTTGTGTGGTAACCGTTTCATAATGTATATGTTTATCTATATCAAATCATCATGTATACATCAAATATGCACAATTTTGATTTGTCAATTATCTCTCAATAAAGTTTGAGGGAAATAATCTAAGGTGAAGATTTTTACACATACATTTTACATATATAAGATTTACATGTATACTTACACATGAATCTCTTCAACATTAATGCTTTATTTAAAAAAAAAAACCTTTTAGTTTCAGGGGCACATGTCCAGGTTTGTTATACAGGTAACTTGTGTGTCACGGGGATCTGGTATACAGGTAACTTGTGTGTCATGGGGATCTGGTGGACTCACTATATTGTCACCCAATAATAAGTATATTATAAGTATACTTATTATATACTTATAATAAGTGTAGTAACTGATAAGTAGCCTTTCCTTTCCTTTCATTTCGTTTCCTTTCCTTTCTTGCTCTGTTGTCCAGGGTCTTGCTCTGCTGTCCATGCTGGGATGTGATGGCATGATCTCAGCTCACTGCAACCTCTGCCTCCTGGGCTCAAGTAATCCTCCCATCTCAGTTTTCCAAGTAGCTGGGACTACAGGTGCTCACCATCACACCCAGCTAATTTTTTGCATTTTTTGTAGATATGAGGTTTCACCCTGTTGCCCAGGCTGATCCTGAACTCCTGAAAACAAGCGATCCACCTGCCTTGGCCTCCCAAAGTGTTGGGATTACAGGCAAGAGCCACTGCACCTGGCTCAATAGGTAGTTTTTCCATCCTCTCCCTCCTCACACCCTCTACCCTCCAATAGGCCCCAGTGTCCGTTGTTCCTTCCATCTGTCCATGTGCTCTCAGTGTTTAGTTCCCACTGATAAGTGAGAACATGTGGTATTTGGTTTCCTGTTCCTATGTTAGTTCGCTAAGGGTGATGGCCTCCAGCTCCATCCATGTTGCTGCAAAGGATGTAATCTCATTCTTTTTATGGCTACATAGTATTTCATGGTGTATATGTACCACATTTTCTTTATCCATTTTACTGTTGATGGACATTTAGGTTGATTCCATGTCTTTGCTAGTATAAATAGTGCTGCAATGAACATACATGTGCATATGTCTTTATGGTAGAATAATTCCTGGGAGTAGAAATACTGGTTATCAAACAGTTTAGACATTTTAAAGTTTTTGATAACATTAAATTTGCCAACCGAAAAGTTTTATCAACTACCACTACAACCAATAGTGTATAAAAATGACTATTTCCCTGAAACCACCTGCACAATAGGTATGGTAACTTTAAAGTTTTTTTTGGTCAATCTAATGGCAAAACATCCAAAGCTCAGAGCAGCAGCAGTTGCCTAGATTTGTGGTATTCTAGTAACCCTTGGTGATCCTCACTTGGCATTAATCTTTAATATGGTAACAAATGTTATATTAATTAACTGTAATTTATTTGCATACTTAACATTAGCCCCTCTTGAACAATGAATGCAAACCTATATTAAAAAAGTTAAGTTCCTGAAATTTATTTAATTGATGTCAGCAACATTGCTCAGACAAAGACAATTATTCTGTCTATTGGTAGACTTTTGACTAAACGATATCAGAAATTCCTTCTATAGAGGAGAGTAAAAAAATCACTATCCTTTAACATCTTTGTAGACATGAAGTCATCAGGTATTCCTGTGTTTTTGATCTTGGGTATGGGTTTATCTGTGGGAGGACAGAGTAGAAGGCTGAAATGCTGTTCTATTGTATAAATGAGACTTCAGGAAATGAAGGAGTGTGATGAAAAGTAAAATTTTTCTTAATAAAAATTGCTAAGAAATGAGTTTTAAAAATATTTTGCATATGGCTTTATGTTTTGGGAGAAATAAAACCCTTCTATGACTCAGTAAGTAATTTCTAGCAAATATGTATAGCTTACCATCTAATACATAAATAAGATTATTATCTGAAAAATAAGCATTTTCATGGATGTATTAAAATTACTAGTGGCATGTTCTTTATAACAAGTCTAAAATGCTGCCTAATTTATATCTGTTCAGCTGACTAAACCACGGTGTCAACGAGGAGGCTGCCTTAATTTCCAATTTTAGATAAAAATTTGTACAGTGTAAACATGTATAATAAAATGAAAAGCAATAGTGCATAACAAAATCTCAGTATTAAGAGGATAGTCTTTTGAGTCAGAAAAAAAATTGGGTTTATATCAAGTTCTGTCACTTCTTAGCTGTTTAATTTGGGTGCAAGGCATAGTTGCTTAACCATTTATGCATCGTTATGCTTACACTCAGCATGTGCCCAAGTTGGAAGGGTTAAAGGAGAATATGTATTGAAATGACTAGACATGTAGATGGCTAATAAGTGTTACCTATTTCATTATTCAGCATGTTCTTGGTAGACTGGTGACCCATATCTGTAATTATTTAGCTTCTCTGTACTCACACTAATTTGACCTTATAGTAATTTAATTTGCTTAGTTATAATAAGCTGTCATTCTCACTGTGGGAACCATTAGGTGTGAAGTAAACAATATGTAGCTCATTATTTTCAGCTAACAGTAATCCAAGCCAGGCTCCAGGAGGTGAATAAAAAAAGATGAAGAGCAAAAGATCCAAGGCCACTAGGATATAAAATAACTCTTGAAGAATTTTGTGAAAATAAATTGTTTCGAGGTTGACATTTATTTGAAAGTGAGATACAGCATTAAACATGTGCAGGGAATTTTATGCTTTGAGTGGACATGGTTTAGTGCTAAAGCCCTTAATATAATTCATTTAACAGCCTCATAATCTGTTAAATAGCAAGTGATTTTATTTTTATGTATTTTGGGCAGCAAAATGAATAGCTCTTTAAGTGCTTTTTGATGTGTGAATTTTTAAATTGACACTAGTTAAGTATCCTTAATTTAGTGAAGTCTCTTCCCCGTCTGTGGATGGTTTTTCTCTCTGACAAAGCAGAACATGTTTGCTTGTTGATAGATATTATAATGATCTTTTATAAGTGTGATGACAAAGGTTTTATAGTAATATGTGAACAGGTAAATATGAAGATTTATATGAAATGTATCAATGTAAAAAGTTATCTTTATAAGTGGCACCAGAATTTATCTTAGAGAGGGAATTGTGTTACTTCAGAAAGGCGTACTTTAATAGACTGCTTGGAGTGGAAGGTGGAGTGGAAGCTGAGAGTCTCCAGGAGACATAGACAAAAAGGTAACATAGATGAGAGGATTCTGAAAAGATGGTAGAGTAAAGAGCACCAGAAATCTGTCTCTCCATGCAGAGAACAATTGTATTGGCAGAATCTGTCTGATGTAACTATTTCAGAAATCTGGAGTATATTAAAGAATTGCAACAACAACAACAACAAAAGAATTGCAACATCTAGGGGAAGGCTTGATGGTAAATTGTGGTTAGTTTTGTTGGTTTTCTATTTGTTTTTGAGTTTCACTCTTCCCAGGCTGGAGTGAAGTGGCATAATCTCGGCTCACTGCAATCTCCCCTCCAGGTTAAAGCGATTCTCCTGCCTTAGCCTCCCAAGTAGCTGAGATTACAGGCGTCCACCACAATGCCTGGCTAATTTTTGTATTTTTAGTAGAGTCAGGGTTTTATCGTGTTGGTCAGGCTGGTCTCAAACTCCTGACCTCGGGTGATCCACCCGCCTCGGCCTCCCAAAGTACTGGGATTACAGGTGTAAGCCACTGCGCCAGGCCAGTTTTGGATAACATTAGCTCTTGACATAGTAGCAGCTACTCATCCCCCACCCTTTAGTCCTGTAGCAGGCAACTATGTGTGTGTACACAATTTCTAGGAGCCAAGGTGAGCAAAACAGAACCTGATCTCCAAATATTAGGAATCTGTGCTCTGATCACTGATTGCTGCTTCTCAACACAGGGATGTGGACAACAAAGCGGTAGTCACTGTTTTGCACTTCTCCCTGTT